TTATTGTCCTTTTATTTTCTTATATCACATTCTTATTTTCTTTTTTTTTCCAATAAGTTTGCATGTATGACATATTTTTCGATCGTTTAGTTGTTGTTTTCACTTATCTTTTTTTTCTAAGGGTTGATTTGACTTCCTCACTACTAATCAAGAAGGCGCTTCTCTATTATATTTTAGAGCTTCCATGCTTAGGACCCTCAGACAGAATTTGGATACCCGTTATGCATTTGTGGATAGCTTTGCACGTCGCTTGAGTTCGATTTGCAGTTTATCAGTGGTCTTTCAATATCTTGATCTCATTTTATGATTGTTTGCTGATGCGATCAAATCTGTTTGTATCTATTTTTGTTCGAGTTTCTTGGTTAGGTTTTAATATTTCCTTGTATGGTCCTTATGTAATATTAAGTTGCTAGCTTTTTTATCTATATTTGTAGGAGTATTTTCACATTCATTATTAAATAACTAAAAATCTTTCGAACATATATTACCTAATATTCACCTCGAATTAATCAAATATATATATATATGCAAGACTTGATTTACCGTGATCAGTGGTAGAATTGGGTGTTGGGCAGTTGGCACAATCAAATAATTGGGTGCTGATAATAGTACTCAAAATGTCCTGTCCAACTCAATTGCAAAGGGGATGAAATAAATCCAAAATATGTGAACATTGTTATTCAATTTTGAAAGTGAAATCCATTGACTATTTTATTTTATTTTATTAGATTTTTTTACTATTACTTATAATAAGAATGTTAAAAAAATAATTTTTTTGGTAAAAAATCAAATATTTTTCAGTCTATTTTTTTAATTCTAAATCTTATTTATTTGAAATTAAAATTTAAACCCCAAAAATACTTTTTTTTCTAATTACCCACAAAATTCATTTACTTTTCCTGAGAGATATAGATTTGTGTCATGATAGATTTATAATTCAGTAAATAAAAAATTTAATTTAAACCGGTGCAATTAAAAAAAATGGCTGTCCCTTTTTTCCATATGTATGGGGTAAGGGGGAGGAAGATAGTAGACTGCCCCCAACACCAGGTTGATAGCAGCTTCCGTAAGAGACCTCCGAATTATGAAATGCCCTCCGTGAGACTCGATCCCACGACCTCAAGGTTAAAAACCTTGTGCTCTACTAACTGAGCTGGATGGTCATTTCTAAACCGGTGCAATTAAGTATCGATAATTCAGTGAATTTATTAAGAAAACTATTTATATTTTTATATTCTATTCAAATCAACAATTGACTTTTTTAAGGAGAAATCTAAATCAACAGAAAAGTTAAAATTATCGACAATAATTTTAAATAGAAAGAAAATAGTAAAATCTTACTAGAGTTAAAAATATTAGGGTAAATTACACCGTTCATCATTGTACTATACTCTCTCTCCTATTTTCTTCATCCAACTTTCAATTTTTCTATTTTGCTAACTGAACTTTACAAGCTCACTATGCCGTTAACTTTTTAACGGCGTCATGACGTGGCATAGGAATCAAAACGACGCCGTTTTGAAAAACTCAAATATACTCTAAAACGACGTGATTTTGGCGAGTGAAATATGAGAGAGTAAGGTTTAATGACTCATGGTGTAATTTACCTTTTTTCCTTCTCTTCTCCATCGGCTACCAAGTCATTTTCATTTCGGCCACCGTCGACTACCGTAGATGGTGGTCGTTTGGTCTCAAAATGGGATGGGATTGTTAATCTCAACCCCGAGTCCGAATCCGGTGGTTGTTTCACCGAAAAATGTCTCAAAACCCGTGAATTTGGACTGAAACATTTTGGTTTTATCACTTTCAATCTCAAACTCGTAGACTTCGGAGCAACTTCCGACAAAATGGAGGTCTGATTCGAACTCACGAAGTCGAGGCGAAGTGACCTATCCCATTTTGGGACCAAACGACCACCATTTACATCAATCGACAGTGGCCGACAGTGGCATCTGGTCACCTTCTGTTTTTATTTTTTTAATTATTTTATATTAAATAATAATAATAAAAATACCATATCATCAGTCGTTAGAGAGAAAACGGGGGAGTGAGCAAAATGATTCAATTTGTAAAGTTTAGTAAGCAAAATAGAAAAATTGAAAGTTTAGTGAAGAAAATAGGAGAGAGAGTATACTACAATAAAGAATGGTGTCATTTACCTAAAATATTATAGAAATTTTTTTATTCAAAATAACGAGAATTAAAAAAAATACAAATCTCACCACAAATCACAATTAGACTAAACAAAACCTAATTGGGCACACCTAATCCAAAACATCATTTCAACTGTATAAGCCATTAAGATTTTGGAAATATTATGAAGCTCATGACAAAGTGGGTCCTAACATTGATTTGTTCATTACTAAAGATGCTTAACTTGATTTCATTAAATATGATTATCTCTATAGTGTGTTTATGTTTTCATCATTATTTTTTTTATTATCAAATCTTATGCTATATATTAATTGTTTTTCGTGTTATTTTAAAATTATTAATCACCATTAAAAGAATCGTTGTTGTTTCTAAATATCATAGGTTCAAGCATCAGCAGCTGCAGCAGGGTGATTAAGATTTCATTGTCAAATGATTAAGAGTATTTAAAACATATACTACTTTATAATCACATTTGCTTAAAAAAATATTAATCATTGCATGAATTAAATAATCTCATAGTAAAAAAATTGTTATTATTCCTTGAAGTCCCAAGTTCGAGCACCATGAATACTAGGGGTGTGAGCGTTCATTGTCAAATGGTTGAAAGTTATGTTACCAACTGGGGTTGGTTCAGGTAGTAAGCAACTTGATATCGCTTAAGTAAGGTCTCCTGTTCGAGTCCTTCTATATATAAAAAATCTCCGCTAGAAGACTCGCCCACCAAAACTAAATGTACGATCCGAGTCAATCCAAATTAATCAAGACGAATCTTTGAAATTAAAGGACAACTTAAAAAAAAGAATTATATTTAATTAGATATTATTTTGTGCTTACTCTATATTAATAAAAAAATATTAATCACCGTATACGAAGAAGGTGGGTGGGTGCCCCATATGCTTCTTATCTCATCACCATGTGGAGGTGGGGTAAACATAATTTAATTTGTAATGATTTATTATTACTACTGTTCATCTCATGATGTATAAACTCAAAGCAAAACAAAGTTTTATTTCCTAAATTTTTAAATCAATCATTATAAACATAAATACCAAGAATAGATTTAAATTATTAATTATAAATATTAAATGTAGGCCATTCACTCGAATAAGAATCCAAAATAAAAATGGATAAAAAACACAAATAGTACCGACTATAGAATAATATTTTATTGAGTCCCTTGATTATTAAATGTTATAAAATATTCTTCTTAACTATTAAAAGTTACAAAATAATCTCCTAGTTATACTATTTTACTTCTGATGGGTATTGAACCCACAACCTAAAAGAAAAAAAATATATCAACCGGAAAATATTAACCATATGTTCTAAATATTGTTGACATCTAAACCGAATTTTTTTAAAATTTCCTCATTAAACTAAAGTCTCATAGGTAATATATAAAATTTAATGGTCCCATTAAGTTAGGCAGACTGGGAATGCATAGTTTCTCTGATCTTTAAGCCATATTGGGTCATCAATAGCCGTTGTCGTGGGGTGGGACTCGAGTGACACCTATGTTGCCTGCATTTTTTATTAGTTTTGTAAATATAGTTGAAATGATTTATACAATTATATTTAAAATGTGATATTAGATAAATTTTAGATTCAGATTCTGATATCTATAATTTTATTATCTTATGTACATAAACCATAGTTAATAAATAAAATTAAGGGGAAAGTATGTTGGAAATTAGAAAGATATTAGCATTGACTGGAAAATATAAATAAAATAATCAATCAAAACGATAATCGTATCGTGGTATTAACCATTGCCTTGGAAGCAAATTCGTCCCAATATGTGAAATCGCTACAATGGACGAATCCCCCAAGATTAACATGACTCCCCAAATTCCATACACTCAAAACATGGAGCGAGCTTGATGGTATTACTCTTCCCTCAACTCAAAATAACACTTAAGAAAAAGTACGAAAGAGTGTTTTAAAGCAAACATTTGCTTAGGGATATTTCTATTGAAGTGTCGTATGAAACGGAAAAATAAACATCAATTTATAGGCTCAACATAGGAGTAAAATAGTACAAGATCCAATAACAATTACAAAATAATTAATTGTCATAAACATACTCTAATGATCATAAACTATATTAATTTTTTTGTAACGGCTATAAACGGTAAAATAATCTCTAATAACTAATATTCTATCGGGAAAATCTTGTCTAAAAAAACACATACGAACAAAATCAGACCACACCAGACGGTTCATACCCAATGTGAAATTCTTTGTATTACCAACAAAGTATACAAATAATTCCCTGACTATAGTACATTAATTTATTAAGTCATAAGACTACTAAAAGTTATAAAATAGTCCCTCAACTATAGAGTGATGTTTTGTCGAATCCCTTGATTATTAAAAGTTATAGAATGGTTACTAACTATTCATAAGTTCCATAATCATCCTTTTTCATTAAAAAACGAACGACAATCTGAGTTGAACATTAACACGCTAGCTAAGATAATAGAATCTCAAATGACCAATCATATTACATTAAACCCTTATTATCTTCCAAATCGTGGCAAGGTCAAATTGAAATGAAGTAGAGCCATAAACTTACTAATAGTAAGTAGATCAAATCAAGTTAAATTGAAGTATAAGGTCTAACCCTATATTTGGGTATAGGGACACACGTAGTTTTATATTAGGATGACAAATTAATAAAATTATGAGGGAAAACAAACTTGTAAAATTTTAGAGAGAACAAAAATATATTTTCAATTGAAAATACAAAGAAAATATCTAAATATATAAGAACTTGAAATTTTTAGGGAGACAATTGTCCCCACCCGCTCCATCGATTCATCCCAATATAGATTGAATTGAGAGAGTGGAAATGAAAGGAAAGTAAGGAAAGTGATCCTCCTTTCTTTTCTTTACTGCATTTAATCCAAACATATCGTATATTCCCAAGTTGAATGTAATACAGGTTCAGCCCATGGGTTTTAAGTTATAGGGACTATTTTCAAAAAAAAAAAGTTATAGGGACTAAATCCTCGAGTATAATACAGGGACAAAAACCATAGCATAACTTATAAATTAAAGTGCAGCGACTAAACCATAACTTATAGAACTGAAGTGCAGAAACTAGGCTATGTAATCGGCATTAACTCCGACACACATCGGCCTTGTCAGATTTTAGCAGACCCGCAGGTGGGAATCATGTTCAGTGCTTTCAGTAGAAAAGAGTATGTCATGGCAGTTTCTCGGAGCCTCTCGAATCTGCATCCAACGATATATTTGTAGTTTTTATTAATCAGTTTCGCATTTAAGCATTCTCGTATCGGATAATATCGAACGATTCATGGTTCGGTTTCATGTGACTTCGAGGTTTTAACAGAAGAGCTGGGAAAGAGAAACTACCTCCCGGACTTCGAAAAATGGCCGGCACCAAGTTCACACTTGAACAACAGCATGTTATCGTCCTTTTTCATGTCCCTTAGTTTAGCCACAAACTTTGCAGGTTCTGAGTACATAACCCGCGGATCTGCCGCAACATAGGTGAAATATTAGTAGCAGCCTATGGAGGATATATACCAGATATTTCTGATCGCAGGCTACGAGTAATAGGCGACGACGAGGAGAATAATCAAAATCACGTGTGATCGTTTTACTTACCATGTAAGCCGGCCGTAACGAGAATATGAGGATAATTTTGAGCCTTCACCTGCAGAACATAGATATATTAGAGCCTAAACATAACCGAGTGAGAAACAGTTGGCTATACTTCGAATACTGGCCACAAATGCCTGGAGACAGCAGTATTAGTGTCGTACATTATCTACAGGTGAATACGACTTCATGTAGTAGTAAAACTCTTCCTTCCGAGGGTCACCCCATTCCTGTTATAACGAAAACGGAGCGAAGGATAACATGGTGGATCTTACGCAAACTGAAAACAAAATGTCACACTCAAAAGAACGAAAACCGAAATCTGTAAGGAGAAAGATAATACCTCCCACTCTGATGTTGTAAGAGGTATGGTAGGATCAAGCATTGTAGTCAAGACATCTACGAAAGGCACTCCAGCGACAGCGGCCTTCCACAAATCCGGCCTCATGTTAAGAACGGTACCCATAAGCAATCCACCTGCACTTCTTCCCTCAATGCACAAGTTTTCCTTTGAACAATACTTCTGTTCAATTAAGAACTCGGCACAAGCGATAAAATCTGTGAATGTATTTTTCTTCTTTAAGAACTTCCCGTTCTCGTACCACTGCCTCCCCATTTCACCACCTCCGCGAATATGAGCGATTGCGAAGACAAACCCACGATCTAATAAAGACAGCCTTGCTTTGTTAAAGTTAGGATCTACCGATACCTGCTTACAGACAAGAAACAGTATATTACATAACTGAAATTAGTAATTACAAACAGACACTCCATGAACGTTCAACTAAAACGATAGACCAAATTGATGCGGCGGATAAATCATAGATGTGTGTTATTGTTAGCCATAGCTGCAACAGTTTGCCAAACGACATGAAATTAGCACATCTCACAAGAATTTATCCGATCGAATGCATTGTTACCGGTTACCTCGTAGGAACCATAACCATAAAGCAACATTGGATCAGATCCATCAAGCTTGACAAGATTCTTTTGGTACACGATTGATATGGGAATTTGAGTGCCATCTGAAGCCGTAGCCCATTTCCTTTCAGTGACATAATTTGATGCATCAAAACCTCCCAGAACCTGAATAAGAGACAACGTACAAAATTAATCGAGTATGATCTGCGCACGCAGGACCCAAAAGTAAAATGTAATACACTTTCTTAAACTTCCTATTTTTATTCCTGAGCAGTAAAAAAAGAACAATGGTTTCTGGAAGAAGACTATGTTATTCAAAACTGATCAATAACAATTTACGAACAGATCAAGTCCCAAGAACTAAATTTTTCTTAAGTGAAATCTTCAGGAAAAAAAGGAAGGATATTGTCAGAAAAAGCAGAAAACTTTTATTACATTCGAGGACCCGAGAAAAAAATGTCAGAAACATGAAGTCACATATTGCAAGTACTACTATTCCGAAATTTTGGCAACAATAAAGTGAAACTTTTATTATATTGAAAAATCATGAACACTACTACTGATCTTGGAAGGTCCAATTTGACATTTAAGTCATTTGAGAAAACCACGAGCATTAAATGCAGTGTGGTACATATGAGACCCAAATTATGAGAGAACAACACAAAGTGCAACAGAATGTTTTTTCACTTTTGATAATAGAAAGCTCCATTTCATTCCTCTTTCTTTTTAAAGAGAAAAAACTTCCAATCCTTTTTTTGTTAACCGGAATAAAAACACAAAATAAATGTAATAGTATCACAAAGTATGTTACTCGAATGAAATACATCCCATATAAGTACTCCAGCACGTGAAAAAAGTGAATCTAATAAAGAAAAAACATTCCAACATGAAGGTGGGAAAAGCAAATCACTGACAACAAAGCACACAAGGAGAAAACTAGGTAAAGGCAACCACACCTGTAATTTCCTAGTAATCAAATTATATCTTGCCAAGTAAGATATTGCACATAACACTAGTTTTACTATGTTAGATTCTTATTTTGCACTAGGCTATGTTAGATTCTTATTTTGCACTAGGCTTTATCAACTCATTTCCTATCATGGTTTTAACGATCAGTATTACTTACAGTTTCAATCTTCTTCAAAACAGACTCCCCAGTATTCATGTCATACTCATACACAGATGGAGGTGTCCTCAATGAGCTATAAGAAAACCGCAAAATGGTGGAGGAAAATTGTGATTCCGAAGGATCAACTGAATATACAGGATCAATAAATTGAACTGCCTGACCCCCTTGAAGGCATATGAGTGGCTCTTCAACTGCTGGAAGACGGTAAGCGGTAATTTTGGGCAAACCTTGTTCACGCTCATAGACAACTAGATGATCACTAAAAAGTTGAATATCCTGAATCTTTATACTGGAGAAGAAAAAATAACATGGTAAGAGATAAGACACTGCAAGGAAGACAATTTCAGACAGGAAAGAACCAAAGCTAACATATGACAAGGCAATTACAAACTTCCACCTCCATCAGCAAAAAAGATGCATACAAATGAAATAAAAATTTGAAAACGATCGGTAAACTAAATGATCACCAATGAAACATAACATCCGTCCACATGGGAGTAAGAAATCAACATTTCCACTTTGCAGAAGTAGCATCATTCACGATTGCAAAATGCAAAATGCAAAAAAAAAAACATAATACAATCCGACACCCAACCAAACAGAAAATTTCCAGCTAAACTTTAACCTGTTCTTACATAGGCTATGATTTAAATAACCACGGTTGTGGACTGATAATATCAATGGTTAATGCACTAGCTCCTTGCACATACGTCATTTGAATCATTAAATGATTAACTCATAATTTCTTGCAAAGCAGCCATCATAGAACTGATAATAACCCAAAACAGAAAAATAAATAATAAGCAAAATGTATTGCGATTGACTATGAGAATTAAAAATAATGATATACACATCTAAATACTCGGTATACTTAGAACTGAAAAAGAAGGCAACATGTCCAAAGAAAAACCAAATTCATGTTTATGAGGAACACAGATGAAAAATGAAAACAAGGAATTAGTGCAGGGTCATTGAAGATGGAAAACTTTAGAATTCCTTACGACCTTGCCCTGTGAGGAATAAGAACTGTTGTTGCAGATGTATTATCCACTGGACAAGCTAGTAGTTCTGAATTGAAAAATTCATCACTTCTCTTCTGGATAAAGAAGTGGTTTCCACGATGACTAACAGAGGTATCAATTCCATTTATACGAGGTGTCAAAACCTTAAGGACTTCTTCCAGCTTGCAAACCTCAAGATAGAAGACAAACCTTGTCATTTTGCTTTCAGATGAAATAAACAAAAATTTCTCACTCTCAGAAGCTTGAAGATCAAGGGAAAACATATCGTCCTTCTCATGGTAAAGGCAAAAGTCATTGCATTGGTCCGACCCCAACTTATGTAACCATGCCTATCATTAGAAATAAAAGCAAACGGAGGTTAAATTAGTTCTACTTCAGAAGATGACAAAAGAAGAGGATTTATAATTAGGTTAAACTAAATTTACCCTTTGCCTGCTAACAAAGTATAACAAGAAGCTAAAGGTAACAAGAATATAACTCTACCTGGAATTGAAAAAGGCACATGATTCTATCTGAGAACAAATAACAAGAGGGAAACTGGAAAGATCTCATGAATACTATATTTATACATGAATACCCAGAAAATAAAAATAAAGGTTTATGCGAAGGAAAAAATGTGCAATCCTGTATTAAGGTACTTGATACAGTGACACTTCTAACAATCTGGAATTTTTCTCTGAATCATGTAGGGATGAGAACATCCATTTGAAAATCAAAACACTTGAGCCATTCGTCTATAATAACTACATAAAATAAATCAGATAGCCAACCTTTAGGTTTCTGATTAGTGATCAATGGAAAGGAAGTAATTTAAAAACAGTTTATTGACATCAAAGAATACATAAAAGAGTTCCTAGGAGCTCTAAATTAGACGCGTATCACAAAATAAAAATAATCACTGGCTTTTATATGGTCATAATAAATAGGTGTCATTGTTCTCCCTACAATCACTACAAAAGAGATGAAAATGGTATTGATATTAGTAACTACTGGAAGAAAACAAAATGGAGGGAAAACAAGGTAACAAATAGAAAGCTAGCGTTATAACATTAAGAAGCATGTGAAACAAAAAAAATGGAGTACGTATTCAATAGGAACTGAATAGTTGGAAACTAGAGCTCATACCTTGTCTGGCCGAAGGATCTCATCCATTGTAATGTAAACTAAAGCATCATTACCAGCCCATCGAACATACGATGTTACACCCACTAACGGCTTCCCTATCGGAGCTCGAGTCTCTGCATCAATCACATATACGGTATAAATTTCATCTCCTTTAGTGTCTTCGGCATATGCAACCATCTTATGATTTGGACTGACCTGAACAACAAAGTGCATAGAGACCACACATAAACAAATTGAACCATAAGAAAAGGAAAGCAAACTCATTCAACCAAGTTAACAACATAATGCTGGTCACTGGTCATAACTGACCTTAAAAGCACCAATGCTGTAAAAACCATGTTCTTGAGCCTTAACATTCTCATCCAAAATTACATGCTCTGGTGGAGCGTCGGGACCTGTAGGCATGGTATCGTGAACAGATGGCGGAGCATCAGGGATAGGAACGGGACGTCTGCAATATTGAACATATTCCTTTCCTTCCAATGTCCTTGAATAATAATAATAAGGTCCTTTTCGTAAAGGGGCAGATATATCGTCCTCTTTGATTCGACTTCTAATCTCAGCATAAATTTTATCTTCAGTTTTTTTGGTTCCTACAGCAGTATTCTTACATTTAATAAAATACTACGAACATGGAACAGTAATAACAGAAGAAGTGAAAGCAACTTAAAAAAAATCAGAACAAAACAGTAGCAGAGTTGCTTTTCAACATTTTCAAGAAACAAACAGAAATTTGAGGAATCGGATAGATAGATATATAGTCTACGATTCCGAGAAAGAAATAGAGAGTCGAGGAAGTGGATATATACGACTCCACCTCTAAATCTCAGCATGAATTTCATCTCTTCAACTTTTTTGGTTCCAAAACCACTATTTTTATGTACAATAAAATGTTAAGCAAAAATAAAAGGAGTAATTTAACCACAGAAGTGAATACAACCAAATATAGTTTCAGATCAAAACAGTAGCAAAGTATCTTTTTTAACATTTCCGAGAAACAAACAGGATGTCGAGGAAGTGGATACGTATATCATTGATTCGACCTCAAAATCTATGCATAAATTTCGTCTTCAACTTTTGTTTCTTTTTGTTTTGTGGTTTCAACAGCAGTATTTTTACGTTCAATAACGCTGAACAAAATGGAAGAGTAATCTAACAACCGAATAACAAATGCAACTCAAAAAGTGGCAAAGTAGGTTCTAAAAATTCTGAGAAACCAACAGAAATTTGAGTAAATCAATATATATAAAACATACCGGACATCATGGCCTCGCAATAGGCGTTTTCTTGTTGAAGATAAGAGAGAACTTTAGGGTCCTTGCGGGAGTCATCGCGAAGCCAGTAGTAATTGTCAACTCTCACGTCCCCGAACAACTCCATCTCGTGCTTGATTTTCTCGGCCAATGGCGGGGATCGAGGCTGAGACAGAGACCTCATGGTGGCCATTGACAGGAAGCGACGCGACGGCGAGATCTTTGGATGGGCGTCTAGGATGCGATGAGAAGTAGAAAATAATAGCTGTCGGAGATGCGTAGATCCACCTATGAAATTGGAATTCATATATGGTCTCCAGAATTTTGCATTGGAATTATCTAATTCCTTAATTTTTGCGATATGTTCTATTTTCTTTAAAAAATATATTAAAAATATTATAATATTTGTCATATTATCCTATTAAATAATAATATTATTTATTTTCTCTTAAGAAAATTTTAACATCTATTTTATTTTTAATTTAAATTAATTAATCATCGATATTTTATTTATTAAATATTTAATTCAAATAAAATAATGAAGGATCTTTCCAATGAATCACTCGTTCTATATTAACAAACTAATTTTGACTTCATTTTAGAATTATAATTAAAGTTTGAATTTCACGAAACTTAAAAGGGCTAATAAAAAATAGGGTAAAGTTTAGTAATGGTCATTGAACTTTTCTAAAGTTTTCATTTAGGTCCCCAACTTTTAAAACTTACAATACAGTCCCCTAACATTAGTCTATTTGCAATATGTTCCCCGACATTTAGTCTATTTACAATATGGTCCCCGCCGTTTGACGACGTTACACTATCGTTAGTACGTTTGTAATATGGTCACTGAGCTTTTCAGGCGCTTGCATTTAGGTCCCTCAACTTTTAAAACTTGTAACACAATCCTAAATTTCATTCTAAACCTCAAATTCCTTTTCGATCTTGATTTTTCCTTTTCGTTTCTCTCTTCTCATTTCTAACGTAACTTTTCAATCAGGGATGCATGGGAAATTCTAATCTAACTTTGAATTATGTGGAGGTGTTGACTTGAATAAGGGTTCATTGAGAGAAGACCCGACCAAAGGACTATCGAGACCATCAACGATTCAAGGTGTAATGCTAGATACAGGTCATCTCAGGTGAAGCATAGATGTTCGATGAAATTCTTGTGAGAAAAAATGGGGTTAGAAATGCAGAGTTGACAAATACTACTAAGATGAACTAAGTATCATTGTTGAAAGTCACAAACAAAGCTGAAATTATTTTGTATAAATGGCATATAATAATTTCTTCGTTTAATCCTTGTGCTTAAAGATTTTCCAACAGATGATCAAATATAATGAAATCCCAACAGCACATTCACCTATCGTTTGGTTTTTGTTCTTCAATTTTCCGCCATGTAAATTTGTAAACCCAAGCAGTGCTCTGTCTTTCAGCTTTTTATTTACAAAGAAAAATGGAGGAAGAATTGCTGGAACACAACACCGATTGCGTTTATTTCTTAGTCCCTCCTCTCACTTGCAAAAAGATATTTATTTTTTCTTTTGGGCTATCCGGAAGTAAGTTTTTACTCTTTCGCACTTTCCCATTTTCAGCTCGCATTGTGTGTGTTTTGTTGAAATTTTTATGTTTCTGGAACTGCATGTCAATGATCTGGATATTCAGTGTTAGTTTTGAACCAAAACCATCTCAGGTCATCTCAGCGATTCAAGGTGTAATGTTAGATACATGTCATCTCAAGTGAAACATAGATGTTCGATGAAAGGCTTGTGAGAAAAAATGGGGTTAGAAATGCAGAGTTGACAAATACTACTAAGATAGACTAAGTATCATTGTTGAAAGTCACAAACAAAGCTGGAATTATTTTGTATAAATGACATATAATAATTTCTTCGTTTAATCCTTGTGCTTAAAGATTTTCCAACAGATGATCAAATATAATAAAATCCCAACAACACATTCACCTATCGTTTGGTTTTTGTTCTTCAATTTTCCGCCATGTAAATTTGAAAACCCAAGCAGTGCTCTGTCTTTCAGCTTTTTATTTACAAAGAAAAATGGAGGAAGAATTGCTGGAACACAACATCGATTGCGTTTATTTCTTTGTCCCTCCCCTCACTTGCAAAAAGATATATATTTTTTCTTTTGGGCTATCTGGAAGTAAGTTTTTACTCTTTCACACTTTCCCATTTTCAGCTCGCATTGTGTGTGTTTTGTTGAAATTTTTATGTTTATGGAACTGCTTGTCAATGATCTGGATATTTAGTGTTAGTTTTGAACCAAAACCATCTAATTTTCTTTCTTTCTTCTTAATCAAAACTTTTAGTACTCCTTATGAAAGATATCCAACCCATCAGAATAAAAGTGAAATAGGGTCCCAAGCTATTTTTTTTGATATTCTTGTTTGGTTTTTCTTTAAATTAGGGAATTGGTTATGAGTATCGACATAGTGATATCGACATGCTCAATCTGAGAGACTGTTGGTACTAGTTTACTGGGAATTGTATTGATCTGACCTATGATTTTCGGCGTCCTGTGAGCTCGTATTCATTTTTAATAAGTTCATGTTGATTATGGGACTGATATATCGTGAACGAATTAATTTTTTACATGTTTTGGAAATTTTACAGTTGAATTGTATTGAATTATAACTTTAGAAGACGATTATGCATGCACGCAACTCGAAAGGCATCAAATATCATGATGCCTTTCGAGTTGCGAAAGAGACTGAGAGGTGAATGAGTTGTTTGAGATTTCATTATATTTGATCATCTGTTGGAAAATCTTTAAGCACAAGGATTAAACGAAGAAATTATTATATGTCATTTATACAAAAATTTCAGCTTTGTTGGTGACTTTCAACAATGATACATAGTTCATCTTAGTAATATTTGTCAACTTTACATTTCTAACCCAATTTTTTTTCACAAGCATTTCATCAAACATCTATGCTTCATCTAAGATGACATGTATCTAATATTACACCTTAAATCGTTGATGGTCCCGATAGTCCCTTGGTCGGGTCTTCTGTCAATGAATTGTTATTCAAGTTAACACCTCCACATAATTCAAAGTTAGATTAGAATCTCTCATGCATCCCCAACTGAAAAGTTACGTTGAAAATGAGAAGAGAGAAGCGAAAAAAGAAATTTAAGATCGAAAAGGAATTTAGGGTTTAAAATAAAATTTAAGACTGTGTTGCAAGTTTTTAAAGTTAGGGACCTAAATGCAAGCGCCTGAAAAGTTCAATGACCATATTGCAAACGTACTATTGATAGTGTAACGGCGTAAAACGATCGGGGTCCATATTGCAAACAGACTAAATACTGGAAGACCATATTGCAAACGGATTAAATGTTGAAAGACTGTATTGCAAGTTTTAAAAGTTAAGAGACCTAAACGAAAACTTTAGAAAAGTTCAGTGACCATTACTTTATCCAAAAAAAATAAAGTTTATTTTAATATTATAATTGGAGTACTAATTTTATATAATTCTTGTAACGCAGAATTAAATTAGTACTAAGTTATTTACTAAATTGCACTTTTGACAACGACACAAAAGACACTTTTAACCCCGAATATCTCATTCAAAGTAAATAAATGAAAAGAAAAAAAACATAGAAAGGCAGCAGTGACCAATTTTCAGAACTCGGGATCATATGAAGCAATATACAGAAAATGAAAATGAAGACGAAGATGATGCCAACGGGCGGAGTCGAAGGTTAAAGCAGTCACATTGCAACATACAGGGCTCGGAGGTTCCGGGCAATTTCCAGGGCAGGTCCCTCTCTGCATATCGTTTCATGTATTCGACGCTTTCCTCCACCGGTACCTTCTTTTAGTAATCAAATGCTTGGATAATACTACAGCTACTGCAGTATGTATCTTCCTTTCATTACAAGAAAACGAGACTGCAGTCCTTGGCCCTCTCATCTGATTATTCTCTTCCGTTTCAGTGAAGAACTCTACTTTTCTCTCCTTAAACAGGTGCGAAAAATGGGATGCATCATGAAATCCATGTATTTTTACTAGTCAAACCTGTTCTATGCTGGTTCAACGTCTCAATAGGTTAATACACGGGACCAAACAGCCCTCCAGTTTCCGGTTAAACTAATCCGATATATAGACGGAGTAAAAAAGAAACAGATTCTCACCATATTCTTGCTGAAACTCAATATAGAAGCAACTTTCCCACAACGGTAACAAAATTTTGGTGCAGACCACACCTGCAAATTTCAATAGTCAAGAAACTCCTTATCTTCTTACTACCATTAAGCTAAAAAGATGTAATCGGGAAAGTTTAATGTCTCACAGTTACTAGGCCTTTATCTTCAAACATATACTTAAGACCTTCATGCACGAGTTGGTGAGCTCGACAAACAAGATCGAGGTTGTTTATGTGGTTGAACTGCAACAGATTAAATAGATTAAAATTATTATTTCAGCACAAGTATAGACCGAGATGAGATTGGTTACCTCCGATGTGACCCTGGACCCAAATAGCCATCCTGCACTGCGTGGACTGACTGCCCATGTTTCAATATCTTCAGGATCACTCCACATGAGATCACAGAATGGGCCTTTATGAGGAATTCCAGAGTTCCGCTCAATTACCCTCATCTATCATGAAAGCAGAGAAAAGAAAAATGCATCGATCACCATAGAATACAACAAAGAGAAAGCATAACCCGGAGCTTAACTCTGTTGATTCAAGTAATTATCCTTAAGAAGTGACATCTAGCAGATAAGGGTTTTGAGTTCCGGCGGCAACTGCAACCCTTCCCCTATCCCCAGTCTAAAAGTGAATACATAAAGAGAAATTAGTACTTGTATAAAACACAACCAAAGTGAAATGGATGGTTATCGAGCAAAGAATCAGTTACTTCTTCAGCAGAAAGAAGCCAGATAAAATACAACACACGACCAAACTTAGTTTTTACAATAACGTATAAAAGTCAAATGCCAGAAAGTTTGCCTGATCAACATATGAAGCCAAAGTTAAAAACAACCCAAAAATATCCCAAAGACTATAACCTTCTTATTGTTTCTTAAGAAATTACTCATCTTCTATTGACTACAATTTTGCCTTCCCCTCAAAGAAAAAAAATGAGGAAATGAGGCACCATACATGCTATGTTTATATTTGATTCCTAAAATAAGTATAAGACCAGTTTACTACATAACTGTTCATGATTTGCTACAAGAAAACCATCCTAAACTTCAACAAACACAAGTTGCGATCAAATGAAACGTCTCCGCTACAGGAAAATGCTCTAAAAAATACAACACATGCCAAGCACAAGCGAACATAAGAAAAATAAACGACATTAAAATTTGAGTGAACTTCTAGTACTACCTCAAATAAAACACGTCATCCAAAAACTAAAAAAATATACCTGATCAACTGATCGTATATCAGGAGAAAGGCCACCATGTACACATAGCACCTGCAAAATAGAAAATAGTAGACCAATTAAAGATGTGCAAGGTGCTTACTGCTTAGCTATAGATGATTTACAGAGAGAATGCTTACTGTCCCATTTATAATTGCAGAAAGTGTAAGATAATCAAAAACATCAGTACAATATCGCCATGCATTAGCATTTCCATACTTCCTTTGGCACTCATCGTAGAAACCATAAACCTAGAAAAGTTAAGAACACATAGTAAAGAAGTCAGTCCCTCATGTTTGGAATGCTTTCCAAATTTTATAGCTTTAGAGTGCCACTCAACAGTGCTAAAAAACAAAGTAATATGGTATTTGCACGTAAATCTCCAAAAACTGTGATCCTTGGATTCACTATGCTACTCTCAAGTCCAACCTTAGATTTTCATTAATGTGTCTTTAGAAAGGCATCCAATCCTTATTTATATAAAAAGGGGGATTAAAGAAAAGAGACCTCAAAGAACAAAAGATAAAAAGGAAAAGAAATACCGATGTGACACACTTGTAATCACACAGAAGCACTTGCATACATTCTATAAGGTCTTTAGAATCATGTTCCTTTGCAGTATAATCCGAAAACACACCTGAGTTGGCTGTCTGCTCTCATGATTCCCCCGCAAGAGAGTGATATTAGCTGGATACCTATGATTCAGAAAACATTAAAAAATGTCACCTTTAATTCAAATGAGAAACAACATTGGATAACCTAACCAACAAAAATAGAACCTGAAAAACAATTTCCTTACCAAATTCATAGAAAAAACAACAGCAGAATCAATTCATAAATATTGAAAACTGTATTTTGGATCTTCTAAATATAAATAGGATAATATATACAATATATCCTACTATCTTGCTGCCAAATCACCATTGTAGCTCCACAAGGACCTTTTGGCCACAAGTAGGAAAATGTTAGTAGTTTCAAAGCAAATAGGAATTAGCATTCACAATAATTAGATACACCTCAACCAGGGGTTACATCATATATTGGAGGTCTTAGAATTTAGCCAGTGAATACAAAGAGCATGAGAACAAATCAGAATCAGAGAAATAATGCAGCAACTACATTATTGAAAACCAGTAGATAAACACCAAGAAAGATTATAGAAATGCCTAAGTATGTATCCACTATTGAGGGCATACCTTGCCTTAAGAAGCAGAAGAATAGTGAAAACTTCAAGACTATTATAACCTCGATCAACAAAATCTCCCTGTCCAAAGGAATATAAAAGTTTAGCACCCATTAGTCGAAATCAATAATACATCAGACAATAATTTCCACCGCATGAACTGGGATATAAAATATATCATAAAAATGTAACTTGTATCCGGCACATAACCTCCTGTCTGAAAAAGTTTCATCAGATCATGAAACTGGCCATGGATATCAGCGGAGACGGCTACTGGACCGTTGACAGGTTGCACATTCGACTCCTCAATGAGTATTTCTTTTACCTGTAATGTTTTGTTTATTAAAGCAGCATTCCAGAATCATACAAATAATAAACTTCCATAGCAAATTAAAGTTGCAAGTTGAAAGTATGGGATTATAGCAATGATCAAATCACATTACTACAATGAATGACATAAAAACTAAATGATGTCAACTCAAACAAATCTTCAATCAATTAAAATCCCAGATTCCCCGGAAATGTCAGTTATTCAGGTCCTAAAAGCTTTGTTTTCATAAAAGAAAACAATAACAAAAAATTATAATAATAAATCAGTTATGCGAAAATTCTTTAGAAGCAATGCGAACAGATGATACTAAAGAAATTGAGCAATATAAATTTTAAATTTGAAGAAAAATGCGTAGATGCCATGAATTTAAAGAACAAACATGAGTTTGGCATTTTCTTGTGATTCTTGATTCATTTAAAAATCCTCTTAATTGCAGCATATCAAACATTCATTTTTTTATTTTAATTTCTCCTAATTTCTGAATCACCAAAAGAAAACACACAAACCCTAATTTTCCCCTAAAAAATCCAGAGAGAGAGAGAGAACAAGGAAATACGTATTCGCAAATAAGTTGAAGCTCGTCTTCCCAAATATGCTGGCCTTCTTTAACGTTCGCTATCTACTGATCCAAATCTATTGCTCTCTTTCGCTGAGGAATATGAATTCTTCTTTTTTCTTGTGTTTTTGCAAAATAGATTTGAAATTTTCTTGCACTTTTTCTCTACAATAATAAATTTAGGGTAACTTACAAATTTGACAATTAAACTTTTATATGATTCTTATTTTATTCATTATACTTTTAAAGTTTTCAATTTGCTCTCTCAACTTTTAAATTTCTACAGTTTTGGTCACTCAACCGTTAAATAATTAAAGATGTTATGACATGACAATCTTTACAAAAATGACGTAGTTTTATATCCTACAAAAAAATAAGAGTAAATTACAAATTTGATAATTAAACTTTTATGTAATTCCTATTTTACTCATCGTACATTCAAAATTTTCAATTTGCTCACTCAACTTTATAGATTAAGTTTTTTTGTCACTATGTCGGGGTTAGACGAACAGGCGGCTGGCGGAGGCAGCGACGGTAAAAGGTCAAATTGACTGGGTTTTGATCGGAAAGAGGAGATGACTTCAATGGTGGCAACAGTGAGACGAACGAAATACCGAGGTGTCTGAAAATCTATGAAAACCAATGGGAAGCTTTGGTTTCCCCAAGAACCTTCAAATGTTTCTCTACGACAAACGGTGGGGATGATCGACCACCATGGTTTTGATCGCAATGGCCTGACGCACATATCAATACTAGTGGTAACGATCACTGTCCAACGGCGATTGAGATCCACAATGAGTCATCAAACAATTTCCTATGATTTTACAATGAACGACGAGCTTTCATCAATAGTGAAGGGCATGGCTTCGATTGAGAGGCGACGCCGGTGCTGTTGAAGGTGGCGGTGTGAGCCACAACTGGTCGGAGATGAGTTCGACAATAAGGGCAACGGTGGACGATCGTTGTCGATGAGAAGTTTAACGACAGAGTAAGCAAAATTGAAAATTTTGAAAGTAATGTAACATCCCAATTATCGGGTAAGTGACTAAATTGTAAGAACTTATAAATTCAGTTGGTGATTTAGAATAAAGTGATAAGTCTAGTGATTTATGGAGGAATTTGGTGTGTTGGGTATTATAATAAATATGGAATTATAACAAGGGTAAAATGGTAAATTTTAGGGAAATATATTTTTAAATGGTTTTGGATGGGATATATATGAAGAAAAAAAAGAAAGAAAGATGAGTTGGGAAAATCATATTGCTCTCTTCTTATTCAACGTGGGTTGCATCTTAAGGTGAGAATCTGAACTTTGGTTATTTCTTTGATTTTTGGTTTGGTAATGAAAGTTTGGATGTTATATAAGCTAAAGTAAAGCTTATATGGCATTAAAACAACAAGATAAATATTTTAGAGATGGATTTGAAAAATGGGTTTTTAGATGAAATTTTAAATTAAAATTTAATTAACAAAATCAAAATCAAAACCAATTACAATTTGTGTTTGAAATAAGAATAAAAACCATTGCAATTATATCAGTTACTATTATTATAAATTACGTGTTTAGTACATAAATTATCAATTTTGGTACGTTTTAATATTTAAATTTTTATTTTTTTAAAACTATATCTAATTTTTAGTTTTTGTTTCATTTTAGTACTTCGTTATTATTTTTTTTGGAACCATTAGTACATCACCATTAAAAACTTAACAACAATGCATTTGTTATGGGTAAATTATATCACTTATTACTCAACTATCCTCTCACTCCTATTTTAGTACTAAAATTTCAAAAAATTCATTTAACTACTCAACTTTCATATTGCTCATATTTTAATCATTCTATTTTATTAATTTTTTTGACATGACATTTTTATTATTTTATTAATATATAATTAAAGATGAAAAATTAAAAGTTAGAGTGATTAAATTAGGAATAACTTGAAAGTTAAGTAATTAAATTTAAAAAAATTAAACTTTAATGACCAAAATAGGAGTGAGAAGATAGTTGAGTGATGAATGATGTAATTTATCCTTAAAAAAGTGTCACATGAAAATCACTTGTTAAGTTTTTAAGGGAGAAGAATTAACAAATCTAAACGTTAGGTATGATTTTGAAAAAAAATTAAAAGTTTAGGTATTAAAACGAAACAAAAATTAACGTTAGATATGATTTTGAAAAAATTAAAAGTTTATATACTAAAATATACTAAAACTAATAATTTAAATACTATACTAGTAATTTACCCTTACTTTTAATAGAACTTTTAGACTCCACTCTCGGTGGTGATTAGTTGTCCCTTGTTCCCATATGTAATAGGGTAAGGGAAGGTCTCTTACGGAAGCTGCTCTCAACCTGGTGTTGGGGGTAGCCTACTATCTTACCTCCCACTTACCCCATATATATGGAAAAAAGAGACAACCATTCTTTCTTTTTTATTTCTCGGTGATTAAAAAGAGTATTATTCTCTTTTGAGATTTTTTTTATTAATTTGGAGTAAATACAAGACTGTTCAAAGATAACTCTCAACCTTTTGATATAGAACGCTCACACGCCTGATATCTATGATGTTTGAATCCGGGTTCTCGATGAATAACACCAATTCATTTATCACAGGGATCATTCGGTTCGTACTTCTCTTTTAAGATTTTAAATTCAAACAATTGCATCAATAAATAAAATGTGCATATAGCCGTTGAAAAAAAAAACTTTTAGACTCTACAAGTAAAATTAATAACACGTATTTCTTTAATTGCATTTTTTAAAAATTAAATAAATAGACCAATTTGATAACATTTTTAGTTCGTTTATGGGTTAAAACTTAAAAGTACTCATTATTCGTTAATTGATTTTAGTCCCGTTAACATTGTTGCTGGTATGTTATATAAGACAGTAGAATTAAATATGTTTAAAAAGTTCAAAATATTTCAATTTATGAATAAAATAAGATATATATTATTTAAATAATATAAAAAAATTGTATTTAGAAAAACCCTCAAAACTCATGATATATGTATATGTATATGTATATGTATATGTATATGTATATGTATATGTATATGTATATGTATATGTATATGTATATGTATATGTATATGTATATGTATATGTATATGTATATGTATATGTATATGTATATGTATATGTATATGTATATGTATATGTATATGTATATGTATATGTATATGTATATGTATATGTATATGTATATGTATATGTATATGTATATGGATGTTAACACTTGCAGCTCCATCGAAGATTTGCCAGAACCATGAACCTCTAGCTTAAGCTAAATTTGTACCATATGCATGTTTTTGTCTTAGGTTCAACGCTAGAAAAGTAAAGAGGGGGTATTAGGGCAGGGGTCGATTTGCTGCGGAGACCCGCCGCGCGATGCCGTATGCATTATGCGGGCTATTGATGGAGAACCATTAAACAGAAATGAGACAGAGAGAGAGGGAGAGACCTGGAAAATATTGCAATCCGAGGGATGTTTCACAGCATTTTTACATTTTCTTTTTCTTATCATCGGCTCTAACGAGCTGAACCGGTGCTGCCGGTATCCTAAACCACCATTCTCTAAGCCTCCGTAGCCATCGGTTTGTGCTCTCTCGCCTATACGGTAGTTCCCTTGTAAAAGCTTCAAGGAATACAAACAATATCAAGAATCTGAAGGGCACAAAAGCTAACACTACAGCCAAGAAAACCAATGAGATAGCAACCCTGTCAGTGGCCTGGCAAACAGAAAGTATAGTTAGAAGCTAGCCGAATTCCGCAATTAAAACTTAACTGCCTCTTAATGGAACTATTCAGCACCGAATGTTGAACCGTTCAACATTCAGCGCATTTGTTTCGCACCTCTGAATGATTCAGTGCTGACCGATTTAGCAAAACAGTGCTGAATGATTCAGCACAGAAGTACATTCTGAATGATTCAGAGTCATTATCAAACAGCATGTCACATTCAGAGCTAATTCATACAGAGTCTCTGAATCATTCAGCATTTGAATCATTCAGCATTTGAATCATTCATCGCTTAATCATTTTGAATGCAACTTCATTCAGTTTGTTTCTAGGACCAGTGAACTACATACTGGCATTCCACAATTTTCAAGCAGAATGCAACTCAAGAAAGAAGACCTGGATGATTTAACTCGACTTCGATATAAGTATATGCTCGGTTCATACACACCAAAGTATTAACATTCACCCCATAGTAAAAAAAAAGGCCAATAAATGACTCGATTAGCGGCAGAAGATGATGCTAGTAAAACAAGAAACTTGTTTTCTGTTCACTCTTTCCTGTTCAATGGGGTGGGGAGCATCGTGTTTCGACGCTTTATATTTAGCAAATTTCATTTTTCTTTTATCTGATTCAAGTATAGCTGGGACATGCACCTGTGGTAAGACAGCAAAGAAAATAGCCCTGATTTTGAGGATAAAAACATTCGCGGTTTGGATTAGTGCTTCATATTGGGAGAGAACTTCATGTAACGTCAACAGCTGCTCGACTGCATTTCAGTTTCGTGGAGCTATTATTGTGAAGGCTACTAAGGCCTTCTCACTGTTAAGACACCGATTCCATAGCATGACAACTGCAAAGCATACAAAAACCAATGCCAACGTATATGCAAACCACCCCCTGCACATCAGAATTAATGGATTCATTATTATCATTTGGGTTGCTATATGCTATAATAAAAAGTGGAATATAGAATAAAAACACCAATACACAACTGAATACACACAAATGGGCCATTTGGATGCATTTTAACAACATGCTTGGCAAGAACATGTAACCACCCTCAATGTAAAAATAAAACATCAAATGTTGTTGCGTGCAAAAAATTCAGGAAATGATCAGCTAATTGATCCACTAATATAAATATTTCCAAGTTCAGTTCACAATTCATATACCATACATAATTTCAACTTTCAGGACATACGGAAGGAGATCATGTATTGTTCTTGATGTATCTGGAAGAAAAGTATATTAAAGACCAGTCAAAGACAACTTTTACCTTATAATTGCCAAACTGGTAAACATCAGAAAGACGGTCGACTTAAAAGGTTCTTTCCATGAAGACAGAAGCACAAGGCAAGTAGCTAATTGAATGAA